TTTAACACATATAATCATTTATGAATGAAGTGTTATTTGATAAACAATAGCTATTAGCTGGCTGCAAAATATGGACCACAAATTAACTGAAAGAATTATTTAAATGCAATTTAAAAAAGAACAGTACATTTAACTATTGTTATAAATCTTTATATAAAATAAATTACATATATTCATAAATTAATTAAATATTTGAGAAACATTTGTTTTTGTATATAAAATAATTATTTCATTTCTTTATCATTCTTTATTTACTTTTTTAAATATACTCATAATAATTTATACGCCTAAAAAATTCTTTTCACTTACCATTCCTTAAAGAGGTAACATGTTGATATATTTATTTTTTAACGTAACTGTCATTAAGTAAGAATGTTTATGGTTTATATATATTGATATAGCGGAACATTTAGTACATATAATAGTACTGTATTTTATAAAATAAGAAATTTATTAGCACAATATTTTTATAAAAACTATATAAAAAGAACAAAAATCTAAATAAGAAAAATTATTTTGTTTTTACAAAAAATGCGCAGTGCAACAAAAACAAAAGTACAACGCGCAGAAACCGCGATTGTTTCAATAGAAAGCACAACCTTGAAATTGAGTTGTTTTTTTTTATCAATTATTTATGCAAATTTGATTGCAAGAGAAAGAAATAACTGAAAACTAGTTACACTTAAAACCAATTTAATATTATATTTCAAACATTAACTCTTTGCATATGTAAAGTGCATAACCATTTCATTAAATTTTACACAAAACACTTCCTTGAAACGATAAAATAATATTTTCTTTCTCGTTACTTAGCAATGCTGCATTGTTAGGGCGACACAAGGCAGGTGGATGGTAAAAAAATGAAAAACAAATAAGAATTAAAAACACCCCCTGCCGCTAATACTCAACACAATTTTATTTTTATTTATCCTTGTTGATTCGTTTGTTTTCTTCAACATTTTGGTTTTAAAGTAATTTTTATTTTAAATTATTTTAAACTTTTACTTAATAAAGAGATAAAATTAAATTTCTTGCATATAATGAAATTATGTCTTTAATACAAAATAACCACAAACCCTTTCTTTAGCTTTATTATTTGTGCGCGATAACTTAATCCACAACTTGCACGTTCAACTGATTATTTTGGACTAAAACAGGCAGTCGAAAAGAAACGTTGTTGATTTCGCTCTTGTGTTTTCTCTAGCGTGCAATGAAATGAAACGGAACTGTAGACACGCTTTTTAATGTAGGGAATGCAAGTTTACTTCATAGCTTGATAACGGTAAGAAACGGAGTTACCATCTATTCAATATTAAGAATATCAAATTTGAATAAATTAAATTATTATGCTAAATTTATAATAAATTGTTATTACGACTAATATTCAATTAGTTTTTATATTTGTTACTGCGCTTAGGTCGTTTATTTAACAAATAAATTTATAAAAATATTTTTTTAAATAAAATTAAAAATTACGTGTTTCATTATTATTATACACTGAAGATGATCTACGAAGTAAACCGAAATATCTGTAATATAAATAATTTTGTATAAAAATTAAAACATAACTAAATATTTAACATAGTTTAAAAAGTGTAATTTTTTATTTTATTTAAAACAAAACATTTTTTTAAATTTATAAGTTAAATAAACGACCTTAACCCAGTACCAAATATAAAAACGAATGCTAAATTTATACAAAAAATATTTATTCACATTATTTATAATTTTTCTAATACAAAATAATTTATTCTTTGCTTTACTATTATTTTTTTTCAATTTATGTTTAATTTTCACAAATTAATACAAGTACTTTATTTAATAGATAATAAATAAGTGAATAAATAAGTGGAATCAGGCGCGTTTATAAGTTAAAATGATATTTAAATTTTACTTACTAGTTTAAATAAATAACATACAAAATCTAATAAAAGTAAAAAAATATTAATTATTTATCAAATATTTAATAACTTGCCTTATTTTATTATACTTCTGTTTTATTTTTTCTACATTATTTATTTGTATTAATTATTAAATAATACCGAAGATGTTATTTATAACAGATGAAATATCTATTATAAATATATTAAAAATTTATTTAGTTTAAAGTTTTCAAATAAAATTAGTACTTTTATTTATAGTTTTTTTTTATATTATTTAAAGTAATATAAAACAAAAAAAACATCTTGAGACCAAAAAGAAAATCTAAAATAAAAACATATAAACAATAAAGATCGATATTAATATTTACAAAAATTTATTAAATACTTTATATAGTTATATATTCGATTTTATGATTAAAATGTTTTTCATCAGAACTTTTTAAATGAAGAGGATTAAAATAAAAAAAGTAGACATAGTAGTAAAAGTAGTAAAATGGCAATAAGACGTTCAACCATTTTAACACTCAGACTATAAAATTATCAACCCCCCCTAGTAATAAATTCTCTATGTTCAAAGTTAAAAATATTTATTAAAGATCTACTTCGTTGATCGATTCCATATATATTCTCTATAAAGAAAATGTTTCATATTCGTGCAATATGTTTTCACATATAATATATGACTTACTGTCCAATTTTTAAAGCAAAGTACAATAGATACTGTAAAACAAATTAAGGAATTTTATTTATGCTAATTGATATCACTACAACAAAAATAATTGGTTATACGTAACAAACAAAAAGAGATAATAATAATAACAAAACAAATTTAGCTTGTTGACCACAAATAATAAAGAAAATATTTAATGTTCAATTCAATGTTAAGATGTTTCATTCGAAAGTTGAAGGGTGAAAGAAAAGTGTTGAAGTATATGCACAAGCACACTCTACTAATTTAACTCTAAAATTAATTCAATAATTCAAGGGGTAATTTTTACTCAGAGCTTAGAAATCATATAAAGTCCCTTATACAACCTATATAATTTTAATTACATTTCTTCTAAATGTAGGAAATGAAAGAATCTGAAAACATCAGTCTTTTTACATGACGATAGAAAATAATCTCTTTTCAGAGACATTAATTACAGCTACATATAGACTGTGAATGTTATTACATAGATACAATCTACAACGATCATTGTAAACCGTTTAATTTCTAAATTGATATTTATTTTATAAGTAGCATTAAATTACTTATCAGACGTTTAGAAAACTTTAGAAGTAAATTGTTAGTCTCAAATAATGTGATCTTATAATAAAAATGTATTATTTATAATGATGCTGTACAATATATTTGTATCATACAGACAATGATTTAGTTAGTATGACCTTTTGTGAACCCTTAGACCATCTGAATTAAGATTAGGAAAAGGGAATGGTGATAAATAGGCCACAAGACTCAGATATTGCAAAAATGTGTCCTGAATTGGTCCCTCAAGGGTTTCGTACACCTGACCGATTTATACACGCACAACATCAACAATATTGTAAAATTGTGGGGCGAGACTTGAATAATTAAAAAACTATTTATTATTATTATAAAATAGAAATTTATAAAAGATTTCTATTATCTTTTATTTAAAATACAATTTAGGGATTAAATACATAAAACTTTTTTGATGAAGTTCCAGCATTTAAAAATAAGAAGTTGTCTAATAGAAAACTCAACTTAATTCAAATGCAATTCATTCTTATGCATGGAAGCAAATTAAAATTAATATGGTTGTCAAAAATGATTTTCTAGTATAATGAAAATTTGAAATCCATTCATACATCTATATCTATATATCAAAACGTCTTACATTAAAAATACAATCAAGCAGATAACTTATTACTAATGAATACATTACGAGCAATTGTGTTCACTTACCGATACAGTAAATCCACATGAAGTTAATATAAATATTGAATCATATAGATGTTTTTGTTTAAGATCACAATACAGAACACTACTAAGAAAATACGTAAGACCAGAGCTCGTAATAAACAAAAAATACAAATAAAATTTAAATCTATTGATTAAAACTTAAGATAAACTCTCAATTGATTATAAAATCTTTAAAGGAAAGGTTTTTGTAATTCAGGAGAGAAAAAAGCATAGATTTCATAGATTTCTACAGATTCTAACTAGCACCATCTAAATGATCCTTAAGCATTTCTGGAGGATAAAGTTTTATAGAATTCCTTATTGCTTTAACAATGATAGATCTTAAATACATTGTTTTTCAACTCGATTATTCTAGCAGTCTTTCCCACGATCACTAAATCTGTTCTTTCTTACATTTAAAATCCTTTTGTTATTGCATACACGAAAGAAATACCAAAGTGGGCATATTATATAGGAATAAGAAATAAGACTCGATAAACTACGTTCGATATTACAACTTATTTGCTAACTCTCTGTTGAAGAGATAACATACTTTTAGACCTACTACTCTCGGTAAAATTTAATTATTTATTTAAAACAACAAACATTTAGTGTAGATAATGAAAAATATTAATAAACTATACAAAAGGGCAACACCTTGACATAACCCCCAAACACAATAAGTAAACTTCAATGAAAATCATCTAAAACCAAGCAATAAAGTCTACGTTTGGAAAATTTTACTTAGTATGAAATGCAATTATGTTATTTCAATGTTATTCATGTTAAAGTTATTAAAACAGGTTCAATGTAAATAAATTCATTATTTATCATAAGCTAATTTTATATTTGGAAAAAAAATAAAACAATCAAAATGAATTGAGGTAAAATAATTTTTAAAATTTTTTAAACTATAATTACAAATTTATGAAAAATATTTGCAAATAACTTAAAATAAAATACTTGTAAAATTACAAATAAAATATTGTTTATCGATAAGTTTATGGTCATTAATCATATTGCGCTGTTTAACTAATTGTCAAACTCATGGAACGTGCAAAAACAACAATAATGCAATGCACTAGTATACCCCTTTAAAAGTTTATTAATGTATTGCATATAATTATTACAAATTGAAGTACCTTCGGGTTATTAACCGATCAACGATTTTTAGTATCGATTTCATTGTTTCCAGTTGTTTTTAAGACTCAAGAAGGCAATATAAACTTTTACGATTTCATCATTTATCATTGCGCTTTATGAAGATAAGGTAAACAATTATATATGCAAATATGGCAGGTAGATGGAGTATGGGAGCTAAAAAAACTTTTCTAGTTTAGGAACTGCAAATATATTTCCAAATTAAGGAATATAATTTTACAAGATTGATCCTAAAATATTAAGACACTTCAAAATAGAAGTTTCTATTATTTTCACGATTTGTTTTGATCCCCCAATCTTTTTTCCTTCTCTACTATT